CTGGTAGGCTACAGTCCATGGGGTTGCAAAGAGTCGGACACGACTGAGCGACTTCACTTTACTTTACTTTACTGCATTTCGGACTCTCTTGTTGACTATGAGGGTTACTCTATTTCTTCTAAGTGATTCTTGCCCACAGTAGTAGATATAATGGTCATCTGAACTAAATTCGCCCATTCCAGTCCATTTTAGTTCACTGATTCCTAAAATATCGATGTTCACTCTTGCCATCTCCTGTTTCACCACTTCCAGTTTACCTTGATTCATGGAATGTGTGGGATAGTGGTGCACAAAAATTACAGTCATCCTCATCTCATTCCTTTTGCAAAGAGAATGAGCTGCACCCATTCAGAAGGGCTAGAGAGCAAGTACTCTTACTCTACTGGCTCCCATTTAAGGCCAGCACACATAAAACATCCCATAAAATAGTTGACAGTTTAGGAAATAGGAGTTTCAGAGAACAAGTGGAAAGGTTTGAAAGGGAGCAACAAGCAGGATTGGGAGAGAGTAAAAGGAAGCCAAGTCAGCACCAGAATAACAGTACAGAAGAAAAAGAGATGATCGGAAGAACTAAGACAAAGATAACAGAGAATAAGACTTGCTGGGTTTATATGGCCAAAGCTTATCAAAATAATCAGTTCTAGCAGTTCTCTGATGGCTAGGGAGTTAGCACTAAGACCTTGGCAATGGTTTGGTTAAAATCCGTCATTTACAGATGAGGACAACATTTGAGTATCTATTATGTATTTTTCACATTATGTAAAGTGCAATACACACACTACTTTAGTTAAGCCTTACACCTACACCTTCCCTCACTTTATAAATGAGGGAACTGAGGATCACAGAAGCAAAGTGACCAACCCTGGGTTGTATTATTTAGTGACATTGAAGACCCAGGCTTCTTTTTCAAATCTTAATAAGTATGGAAATATAAAAAAGAATTTGAAATTGGAACATCTTTAGTCACTTTCTTCTTTTTTTTAGTCACTTTCTACCAGTGAGATCGAGTATGCTTTTAACTCCACTAAGTCTGTCTACCAAACAAGGTTATTGCAAAGATTAAGCAACAACTACAAAATAAATCTTAGTAGTTATTTTTTTTAACTTATTTCTCAAATGTGAATTTCTTACTTGGTTTATTTCAAAAACAAATTCAAAGTTTCTAAATTAACACCTATAGATTTTACAGTTAGGAGACTGAGGTAGAGAGGGAGGATGTACAATCTATGGCTCCCTAGTATATTTAGAATCAAGTCCAAGCTTCTACGTTTCAGGTCTTTAATACTATGGCCCCAGCCCACCTCTTTAGCCACATCTCTCACTACTGACTTACACAAATATAATACTTAACCTCTGTCAACTATTAATTTTTAAAAACATATGATATAATATCCCCATTTTGTAGTTCCACCTAAATTATTTAATCTATTTCAATGTGTTCTCCAAGGCCTAAATATAATTCATCTTGAGTGTAAAGCCTAACCTTGTCCCAACTGTTGAGAAATGATGGCTCTACCTCCAAAGTTCTATATCATTTTGCTTTACCTCCCTCAGAGTATATACTGCCTTTTTAGTCAAGCATGAAAAAATTTCATTCCTGCCAGCAGAGTTTACATCCCTTAAAGGTAGTTGGAAGAGAACTACCATATACTTTGCATCTCTGAAGTGTCAATTGCTTTGTGTGTGTGTGTGTGTGTGTGTGTGTATACACATTACAGTATACACACACACACATTATTTCAGGTAATCTTTGTGACACCCCACAAAGCAGAAATCTATTTTTTACACATAATGATACTGAAAGTCACAGAGGTTAAACAATTTGCTTACAGTCTTAAGGCCAGTAAGCGACACAGCTGAGATTTGAATCTTGGTCTTTCTAAACCAAAGCCTAGGCTCTTAACTATACTCTTTCCACAAACCATGGGTATATCCTCACTACTGATTGCTTCTTATCTATCCACTAACCATCACAGAAAAAACATCTATGGACTTTTTGTCATTAAGTATTAGCAGAAAGGATTTGATATAGGGTATCTGCTCTCCTGTTTTTTAAGACTAAGAACAGACTTTTCAGACCCAACACAACAACTAATATGAGATCAGAATAAAGATGAACAGATCAGTATCCTGCTTCCAGGAAGGAAAAGTAAAAAACCATTACTTTTCCATTCCTGCATTTATAAATTCCTTCTCCTCTGAGGTTTCCACCATCTGGCTATATCAATCCTTACCCCTCCTCCTCATCTGTCTTCTACCACCCTCCCGATTAATCCCTTATATTCACTGCACCTGGGTCACAATCTCTCTCCTCCGCATCCTAATTCACTTCACTACTGATGCAGAAGACTCGTTCCATACAACAGCCTCCCAGTTCCCTGTCACACTGAGCTTCACCAGCCTTCACCTTTGCTGTACTTCAGCAATCCACACACAGACCTAGCTGTCAGTGAGAAGAGCTTCATATCAGACAATTTAACTCTAATATTCCACTTTCTGACCACAACCTCTTGTTTTTTTTCCTATTTTACTTCCACCACGTTTGCTCACTGATCTCACTCAAAAAATCACAAAACCTCTAAGTCCCAAACTGAAATCATTATCCAGTGTTTCCTGTCTCAGTTAATTTCACCATCATCTTCCCAGTCACCCAAATCAAAAACCTAAACATCACACTGGACTACTCACCCTCTGATCTACACACCCAATCAATCATAAAGCCTCACAGATTCTCTCAACTTCATCCCTCTCTCTTCATCCCTATAATCTCATTTTAACATTATTCAAGCATATCTATAAAAACCTTCCAGTGATTTAAAAAAATCACCCACCGAAGTCATTTCAAGATACTTATGCATACAAGGTTCACCATGACATGGGCTCTGATTGTATTTCCAGTCTCACAACTTACCACTTATATCACTATTGTTATTTCTTAGCAGTACCAAACTGCTTGTGGTTCCCTAGGCAAGCTATTCCTTTTCTCACATTGATGCCTTTCCTCAAGCTATTCTTTCTATTTGAAGCACATTTTTTTTTACTCCTCTTTGTCTGACTTACTTCTACTTACCATTTAGGACTTGGGCCAGGTGTCATCTCTTCCTCAAGCCTTCCCTCAAGTCCTGAGCTAGTCTGAGTACCCTCCCCTTGGTGCAAGTATCAAGCGGCAAAGCTCTCACTTTTTATTCTGAGATGACCTATTTTAGCAACTAATTCACCATTTCCACAAGGATTGGAAATGTATCTTACTTATCTCTGTCTACCCAGTTAACATAGTACATAGCATAGTGCCTGACATACAGTAGATACATTAAATATAATGTTTAGAAGATGTTGCATTTACATTTTCAGTAGGATAGTCACAACAGATCTTTCTCATAGGTTTTTAGTATTTCCTACCATTAACTCCAAGTCCTTTGAAGGGAAGGAATCAGAGCTTTTCCTGAGTCTGTACAGTTTTGTACAGAACACTGCTATACAAAATCTTATCCAACTTATATAAAAGGGAAACAGTATGTGCACAAACATACCAGAAATCAAAACTTGACCTGTGCTGCAAACTTCAAAAGAAAAAATGAAGACATAAGAAGAAAGATAAAGAACCAATTCTGACTGCTGGTATGTGCTTGTTTATGTTATAAAAACAGTGAAATTTTGCTTAGAACATAAACCAGGTCCCAGATATAAGGGCTTGACATTTTATCTATAAGATCATCATATCTCTGCTAAGTTTAAAAAATTACTAACCTGCAGGGTGGCTTAGGCAAGGGTTCAGGATGTTGGTAAAGACCCTATTTAAAAACATAACCCCACAAACCAAGGCTAAGTGATAAAAAAATAAGTTAAAAAAAAAAAAGGCGGTTGGTATGTGAGCAACAACAACAACAAAATGTCCTTTTTCATAGTAATCTGGGCCTCGCGTTGGCAGTTATAAAGAGAGCAAAGAGTTCAATATAATAAAGCATTTCCCTCTCCAACTAAATATTAAATTGCAGTCTGGCATCAAATGAGATCTCAAAGCTTTTCCAGTATAAAAAATAATAAGCTCTTCTATTTGCATGGTGCACTGCACACTTCAATATACACAGGCTCATTTGATAAAGTGTTTATAGACATTTTAAAAAATGAGGGAAAAGCCAAAATTTTCCACAAAATAAGAACTTTTAGTTGGTTTAAACAAACAGTACTAGATGTCTTTTTTTTTTAAAGTTCAAAACACAGTACAGAAATGAGTAAAGGAATAGAGTACCTTATATTTAAGCAGGTCACTCCTTGGAGCCAAAAGAGTGTCTTGCAGCAATTTAATAGGTTTTGTCTCCTGGCTCACATTAAGAAGCTCTCCTTTAAAGGGCAAACTAGAGCTCATTCAGAGAAGGAATTAAGAGAACCTCAGCCTAAGAGAAACAACTGACGGGAAGTGGAATCAGTTAGTGAAGACAAGGCTCCGGGGACATGATCTTCAGATATCTTATTGGGTGTAAATAAGGGAACAGAAGAAGGAAGAATTGGAGGCATCTATTTCTTTCAACCAAAACAAACAAACAAAAATTTCGAAACAACAAAGCTTTCCAGGAACGAACAGGTTTCCTAGGGAAGAGATTAGTTTCCCGTCACTGGAGAAGATCTTCAAATAGACCGGTCAAATTATTAGGGTAGAATTTGGGATTTTCGAAGCTACTTTGGTATGGGGGCGAGAGAAACCGATCCTAGATGACTTTTAAATTCCTTTCTAATCTGGAGACGTTCTGGGGTTCACCTATCTCCTGGAAACCCCTTTTCATTCCTCTGGGGCTGGCCCACAGCCGTGCCCACGTGTCCAAGCCCTCCCGGCCCCTGGCTCACCTCAGTGCCCAGAGGCCCCCGCCCCCATCGGAGGTTGGAAACCAGCTCTCCCCGCCGGTTTCCGGCGGCACACGTGAGTTGTCCCGGCGCAGCTCCCGCGGCCCGAGCCAGCCCGGAGGACGCGGCTGACAGCTCCCCGCCCTTCGCACCTCCGACCCTCAGCGGGGCCAGGAAGCCCGCCGACCTCGGTCCTCGCCCGCCCCGAACCGGATCCGGCCGGCGAGGATCCACAGGCATCTCTCAGCTCTCCAGTCGGAGCAGACTGACAGCTCCTTCAACTCTTGGCCCTCGGCCCAAAACCAACACTCTCCGGCCGACCCAGCCCCGCTAGCTTGGACACAACGACCCCCCGCTCGGATCGCACGCGATGCCGACCCTCCAGAGTCCCCGTGTCCTTGAGTCTTTCCCTCGCGGAGCCCCGGGGTGCCCCTATTGAGTGAGGGCCGCGGGCCGGATACTGGGCCCCGCCGGACCGGCCGCGGATGCAGAACGCCGCGGGGGTTCCAGGACCGCTGAGTAGGCGGGCGACAGCCGCGCTCGGACCTCTGACAGGCTGACCGGTCAGGACACACAGACGGACAGTAGGGCCCGAGGGGCGGGGGCAGCGGCCCGGCCGGTCCCGGCGCCTCCTTCTCGCCCGGGGCGGCCCCTGGCGGCCCAGGCCCCTCAGGGCGCGGGCTTTCCCGGCGAGCGGAGGCGGCCACCGAGGCGCTTACCTGCGGGCGCAGCGACGGCGCGGGGCGGCTCACTCCCTGCCCGCCGCCATGTTTCCGCTGCGCAGCGAGCGAGAGAGGACGCGCGGAGGGGGCGGGCGGGGGCGGCTCCGGAGAGTGGCGGCGGCCGGCCGGCCGGCGGGCTGGCGGGCGGCGGGGGGCTCGACCGAGGCGGCGGCGGCGGCGGCTGAGGCTGAGGCGGGGGCGGGGCGGGGGCTCCATGGCCCCGCCCCCCGGGCCTCCCGCCGTGGGGTGGCGCGCGCCTGGGCCGTTGGGCCCGGGCGAAGCGGGGGCCCGGAGGAGGTGGGGGTGTGTGTGTCTGTGTGTGGGGAGTACGGGTAGGGCGCCCCCAAGCGGCCCGGCCCAGCCAGCGCCCGCTGTCAGTCTCCTCCCGCCTTATACCCCGCGGCCCAGATCCACACCCCCACTGGCCCTGCGCGCCCCCTCTCAAGGGAGGGTAAACTGAGGCCTGGAGAGGGCTCGGGGACCCGGTGGTGGGTGACGTTAAGCGAGTTACCTCGAATCTCTACCGCAGGACTTTCACCTCTAAAGGAATATCATTCAATCCAGAAGGTTGGTGTGAAGATAAAATAAGTTAATGCTTGTGAAGTCCACGGGAAACAGTGCTGGGAACCCAGTAAGTAAATGCTCAGTAAATAGAAGATGCTGCCGTCCCTTAACTGGTTGATCCTTTCAACAAAATACTTAATGCATTGAGCCCTATCCATGTACCTGTTCACAGACTCGTTCTGTCAGTGAACAGTTTTTGCTGCACTCCTCTGGTTAAACGGCCTGTCCACTTTTACCATCCCTGTTTTAGCAGAGAGGAAACTAAAGCTCTGGGAGGTGAAGCTACTTGTCCGAGGTCACCCAGACAGTAAATGGCTGAGTGGAGATCCACCTCCAACCTGACTTCAAAGCCTGTGCTCTGCCAGCAGGGAGTCATCAGCTGTCAGGATGGGTCGGAGGAGGCACTTTGAGAGTCAAACACTTTCAAGTTGGTTCTTGAAAGAGCCTGCAAGGAGGAAGCTTATTTCAGGCAGAGGGAAGGAAGTGTGAGTAAAGACACATGATAGCGGATGGGATGGCTGGTTGGCGTGACTGGTGGAGCGGGAATATGGGAGACTGTGGATGTGGTGATGATGGTGCTGAAGGAGGTCTTTGTGTAGCTAGAATGACAATTAATGTCCTTGTATGTAATTTATTTTATAGGCCAGTGGTTTTCATAGTATGTAGTTCTGGTACTCCTTGGTGTCCCTGAGATCTTTCAGAGGTCAGTGAGCTCAAAATTATTTTCATATTAATGCTAAATGTGATTTGCTTTTTTCACTGTGATTCTCTCATGAGTGTACGGTGACGTTTTCCATAGACTACAGGACAGATGATATTTCAACACATTAAATGCGGAAACAGATTTGAGAATCCAGCTGTCTTCTTTAAGCCAAGTGTTAAAAAAAACTTGTACAAATGTTAGACACCATTTTTCTCATCAATATTTTGTTTTAGAAATTATAGAAAGTTTTTATTAAAATGTGATCATGTTAACATGTAATGCGTTTATTGTACTTTTAAGTGAATTAACAAAATTTTAGAAGTTTCTGTTTTAATTCCTAACATGGTAAGTATTGTTAGAAGTAACAAACAGTACATGAAAAATCTCTTCAAGTTCCTCCATAATTTTTAGAGTGGAAAGGGGTCCTGAGCCCAAAAGGCTTATGAATACCTGCAATAGCCAGTAAGAGGCTATTGAAGTTTTAAGTAGGAGAGTGACTAAATCAGATTTTCGTTTCAGAAAGAGCTTTCAAGATCCAAGCCCAGCCTGGAGGGGTGCGTTCACAAGGCCTAGGCATGCTAGAAAGAAGGATAGAAACAGAAGTGCAGGCTGGTAAGCAACAAAGCTAGGACCCTGATGAGACTGGTCTTTTTATTCTTCATTTGGAATCCCTCACCACCTGACAAGCACCACAGTGAGGGCTTTATTCCTTCATTTCAACGGAGTGCTGTGTAGTGAGGCTTTTGCTCACATTTGCTATGGACGTTTGGGCCCTTTCTGACCCCAGCACACTGTTTCCCCTCCTCATTGCCCACTTTCTAAGCAGTCAAGTGAGGGAGGCAGATGAGGGGAAAAGAGGAGGTTACCAATGGTTGTGTGGAGTGGGCCTGGGAATCCTGGCAGAGGGTTCCGCAGAGCTACACAGCCCAGGGTATCCTTCACATACTTTGAGGGCTCACAGGTGAGAGGAGAAACAATTGTATCAAAACCTCTGCTGTCAGGAAAGCTATTTTTGAAGTGAAGTTCCCCAAAGGTTTGAGACTCTGTTCCTTAACATTAAAAAAAAAAAAGTGTCCATATCAGGTGAAGATCTTCTAAAGGTGTATTATAAACTCCCTAGCCATCCTTATTTAAGAAACAGAATTAAACAATATTTTCTTGATTTATTATAAACATGCACTGGTAGCAATTAGGCTTTATTATTAAGGAATCCTCTTGGACTATTGAGTTAAGGACTTTCTTTACCTTAATGAATGGCCCCGGAATGCTGTGCTCTGGGGGTTCTCATGGGGGTTTCTTAAAGTTTCTGGTTTTCAGTTGCCACTTCTCCTGCTGTCATTATGCCTATCCCTTTTATACCTGCGTCTAATTTGCTGAAGTCAAGAAGGTGCATAGTCTAAGCTTACTGGAGTTGCATCAAATAGCCTCTAAGCAAGGGTCTGAGGGACTGTCCTGAGATGAGGTACCAGAAAGGTCAACTGCACAGGCTGTAAAGTGGGGTGGTTGATGATGAGCTGTGGTCTTAGCCTTAACTTACTTGGTTTCACTTTCTTCCTCTATAAAATGGGGACAGTCACATACAGTACCTATCGCGTTAAATTACTAAAAGGATTAACCCAAGGCATTTAGTTGTGTATTATCAGTTCTGTCCACAGATCAATTTATTCTTAGTTCCAGTTCCATTAGATAATTCCATAGGAGTCCTCAAACTCTGTAGGTTAAAGACCAAAATCATAACTCTCCATCCTAAACCTTTTCTTTCTGTCTGTGCTCCACATTTCAGACAATGGCACCACCATACTCCCAGTCACCCAATCTTAAAACCATAGTAGTGCTTTTTAAATCTTTTTTATTCCCCAGCCATGCTATGCAGCTTGCAGGATCTTAGTTCCCCAGTCGGGGATTGTACCTGGGCCACAGCAGTGGAAGTACTGAGTCTTAACCACTGGACCACCAGGGATTTTCTGGTAGTACCTCTTAAAATTCCTCCCTGTCCTCCACATCCAGTCAGTTTTCAAAGCACACTGCCTTTTCCCTAGTCAAGGTGCTGTTCCATGGACTATCAGAGATGTAACCTAAGTCTTGACTCTCTTCTCTCTACTTGCCTTCCACAACTGCCAGATCCTGGAAGCATCATGCCTACAGGACAAATCCCACAATTTTTAGCCCTGTCTTCAAGGCTCACTGGGTTTCCCAGGTGGCTCAGTAATAAAGAATCCTCCTGCCAATGCAGGAGACACGAGAAACACAGGTTCTATCCCTGGGTGGCGAAGATCCCCTGGAAAAGGAATGGCAACCCACTCCAGAATTCTTGCCTGAGAAATCCTATGGACAGAGGAGCCGGGTGGGATACAGTCCATGGGGCAGCGAAGAGTCGGACACAACTGAGCACATCCAGGGTCATTATGATCTGGCCACAGCTCTTTGTTTCTAAATTTATTTCTCCCCTCCTTTATTTACTCTTTGATTCACATGTCAATTTTCTACATTTTTCCTTTGCTGGCCTTTTCTACATACGTTCTTTGCTTCTCTGGGTTTTCCCATATACTGTTCTGTCTTCTAGAATACCTTGGTCTCCACCTCTGTGTGTCCAAACCTTACCAGTCTTTTAAAACTTTGATTTCATGCTGCCTTCAAAAGCCTCACGTGATCCTCTAGCCTGTGTGTGCTGTGCTTAGTCGCTCAGTCGTGTCCAGCTCTTTGTGACCCCATAGACTGTAGCCCCCACCAGGCTCCTCCATCCATGGGGATTCTCCAGGCAGGAATACTGGAGTGGATTGCCATGTCCTCCTCCAGGGGATCTTCCCAACCCAGGGATCGAACCCAGGTCTTCCGCATTGCAGGTGGATTCTTTACCGTCTGAGCCACCAGGGAAGCTTCCCCTCCAGCTTGTATCATAAAAGCCTACATTTATGTAATGCTAAGTAAGAACCAGGAACTCTTCTGCACTGTCTTATTTAATTTTTATGACAATTTAATTTTCACAGCAAATCTATGCAGTGAGAGTTACTATGATCTGCATTTTACAGGTGAGAAAACTGAGGAACAGGGAGCTAAAGTGACTTGTCCAAGGTCACAGAGCTAGTAAATGGTGAAGCCAGGATGGGAATCCAGGCAGCCTGGCTCCTGTTAGCTCTCAGGTCAGGGCATGCAAACCTCTCTTAGGGCCTTGGTCAGTTTCTGCCTCCTTATTAGTTAACATGACTTATCTTGTCTACTTGAAACTGAAAGTGCTAGTTGCTCAGTTGTTGTCCACTCTTTGCAACCCCATGTGCTGTAGCCCACCAGGCTCCCCTGTCCATGGAATTCTCCAGGCAAGAATACTGAAGTGGGTAGCCATTTCCTTCTCCAGGGGATCTTCCTGACCTAGGGATCGAACCTGAGATCTTCTGCACTGCAGGCAGATTCTTTACCATCTGAGCCACATATCTTGTCCATTTACACAGTGAATTTTTTGAGAGTAGATAAAAAAAATTGATCTATAACAGTATATTCTGAATTTCTTGAACTGGCAAATATTTATTTAATTTTTTTAAACAAATATAAAGTCAACAGAACATTCTATAGCAATAAAAATAAATGATCCAGAGCAGGATTGACAAACAATAGTCCTTGGGCTAAATCTGACCCAATTCCTATTTGTGTGTGGTCCAAGAGCTAAGATTTTTTTTTTCCAAATTTTATTTTTTTTAATTATGGAAGTATGATAACACATTTATAGGAGACTTGGAAAATATAGAACAAGGTTACATATAGTTCCACTGTATAATTATTTTAAGTAGATAAATTAAGACTTACAGTTGGAATTTCAATAACAAACTCTCAAAAATTATTGGAATTAATATGTAGAGAAGTAGAAGGATATAGTAGACCTGAAAAGCACTGTGAACTGATTAAGCATAATTAATATTTATACAATTTTTATACAACAGCAGGATACTAATTCAAATTCCCATAGACTGTAAACTAGGAGACATTGGAACATATCCAGAACATAAAACAAGATGTGAAATTTCATGGTCTAAAGGTATTGCAGTCATACAGAATCTGTTCTCATCACTGTGGAATTATGTTAGAAATCAGTATCAAAAGGTATTTGAAAATAATCCATATCTTTTCAAGTGCAATGTGACATTTACCAAGAGAGATCTTCAACTTAGCCATTGAAAGCTTCAGTAAAGTTAGAATGAAAAAAACAGAGGTTGATTGCAGAGAAAAAAGCATTTACATAAGAAATTAGTATCAAAATGAGAAATTAATATTAAAGATACTTTCAACAAAATCCCATGTACATGGAAATTAAATTAATTTTACACTTTTTAAGGGGTTGAAAATAGAATATGTCATGACATGTGAAACTTTTATGCAAATAAAGGTTTATTGGAATCCAGACAGGATTTCTATGGCTGCTTTTGTATCACAGTGGGCTTTATTACATGTAAAGCCTGCAGTATTTACTCTTTGGCCATTTATAGAAAAACTTGCCAATCCCTGACCTAGAGCTACATGTAATAACATGAAAATGTCTTTGAAACAGCACTGAACAAAAAAGTATAAGCAGTATGCCACTTATATAAAGTTTAAAAATAAGCAAAACAGGACCAGTTTTGTTTAGGGACCCACATGCAGTACAACTATAAAGACATGCATGGAAACAATAAATAATAAATTCAGGGGAAAGTTTATCTCTAGGGGTTGGGGTGGGCATGGCTTTGGAGCAGAATACACAGGGAATTTTAACTGTTTGCAAGCAAGGTGGAGGGTATACAGCATTCCTTGTGTTAAAAATTAAAACATAACATAGATGTAATACTGACAAAAATGTTTCATAAGAAATAAATAAATGAGGTTCATGGACTTTAACTTCTATTTTGGCTGACTGAAAATATATTTGGCTTTTACCTAGAAGGTGATGGCACCCCACTCCAGTACTCTTGCCTGGAAAATCCCAGGGACGGGGTAGCCTGGTGGGCTGCAGTCCATGGGGTCGCTGAGAGTCGGACACAGCTGAGCGACTTCACTTTCCCTTTCATGCATTGGAGAAGGAAATGGCAACTCACTCCAGTATTCTTGCCTGGAGAATCTCAGGACGGGGGAGCCTGGTGGGGTGCCGTCTATGGAGTCACACAGAGTTGGACACAACTGAAGTGACTTAGCAGCAAGGTGTTCTAAAAAGCAAGAGAGTTCCAGAAAAACATCTTTTTCTGCTTTATTGACTATGCCAAAGACTTTGATTGTGTGGATCACAAGAAACTGTGGAAAATTCTGAAAGAAATGGGAATACCAGACCACCTGACGTGCCTCTTGAGAAACCTATATGCAGGTCAGGAAGCAACAGTTAGAACTGGACATGGAACAACAGACTGGTTCCAAATAGGAAAAGGAATATGCCAAGGCTATATATTGTCACCCTGCTTATTTAACTTATATACAGAGTACATCATGAGAAACTCTGGGCTGGAAAAAGCACAAGCTGGAATCAAGATTGGTGGGAGAAATATCAATAACCTCAGATATGCAGATGACGTGACCCTTATGGCAGAAAGTGAGGAACTAAAAAGCCTCTTGATGAAAGTGAAAGAGGAGAGTGAAAAAGTTGACTTAAAGCTCAACATTCAGAAAACTAAGATCATGGCTTCTGGTCCCATCACTTCATGGCAAATAGATAGGGAAACAGTGGAAACAGTGTCAGACTTTCTTTTTCTGGGCTCCAAAATCACTGCAGATGGTGATTGCAGCCATGACATTGAAAGACGCTTACTCCTTGGAAGGAAAGTTATGACCAACCTAGACAGCATATTAAAAATCAGAGACGTTACTTTGCCAACAAAGGTCCATCTAGTCAAGGTTATGGTTTTTCCAGTGGTCATGTGTGGATGTGAGAGTTAGACTGTGAAGAAAGCTGAGCGCCGAAGATTTGATGCTTTTGAACTATGGTGTTGGAGAAAACTCTTGAGAGTCCCTTGGACTGCAAGGAGATCCAACCAGTCCATCCTAAAGGAGATTAGTCCCGGGTGTTCGTTGGAAGGACTGATGCTGAAGCTGAAACTCCAATACTTTGGCCACCTCATGCGAAGAGTTGACTCATTGGAAAAGACCCTGATGCTGGGAGGGATTGGGGGCAGGAGGAGAAGGGGACGACAGAGGATGAGATGGCTGGATGGCATCACCGACTCGATGGATGTGAGTTTGGGTAAACTCAAGGATTTGGTGATGGACAGGGAGGCCTGGCATGCTGCGATTCATGGGGTTGCAAAGAGTTGGACACAACTGAGCCAACTGAACTGAACTGAACTGAAGGTGTTATGGTAAAATACAAACTGCTCAAATGGTGTGGAGTTTGCTCAAATTCATGTCCACTGAGTTGGTGATGCTATCTAACCATCTCATCCTCTGCCATTCCCTTCTCCCTATCTCTTATCTTTCCCAGGATCTTTCTGATAAATTGGCTCTTTGCATCTGGTGGCCAAAGTATTGGAGCTTTACCTTCAGCATCAGTCCTTCTAATGAATGTTCAGGGTTGATTTCCTTTAGGATTGACTGGTTTGATTTCCTTGCAATCCAAGAGACTCTCAAGAGTCTTCTCCAGCACCACAATTCTAAAGCATCAATTCTTTGGCACCCAGCCTTCTTTATGGTCCAACTCTCACATCCATACCTGACTGTTTGAAAAACCATAGCTTTGACTATATGGACCTTTGTCGGCAAAGTGATGTCTCTGCTTTTTAACACACTGTCTAGGTTTGTCATAGCATTCCTTACAAGGAGCAAGAGTCTTAATATTATGGCTGCAGTCACCATCTGCAGTGATTTTGGAGCCCAAGAAAATAAAATCTGTCACTGCTTCCACTTTTTCCCAGGAATCTCGGGGGCCATCTTAAAATTCTGCTTCCTCCACCTAGCGAGACGTGTTCTCTTAAACACTTCTCTATGAATTCTCCTGGCAGTTTGTAACTTTTCCATAGCACAGTGTGCATTGTATCACCATTATTAGGGCACATTTAAAAATTCCTTTTCTGGGCTGAAAATGTCTTGAAATCGGGAAACTTGTCTATACCTGTAGCTCTCATGCTTCAGACGAGGCAGTTGCATGAAGAGGATATTCCTACACGTTTGCTGAAAGATTAAAAGTGTGCATAGTATCGTGTGAGGCCTTGCTTCTTTTTTTGATCCAGATCAAAACCCCTCTGACGCGTCTCGGGGAGAATTAATAGCTCCCTCCCTGTGCTGTCGCTTGGTGTCATCTCTGTATGAAACATGTCTCCTTGAAGTATCTTAAGTTAGACTACAGTTTCTTGAAGGTAGCACTTCACTTTTATTCCACTTTTATCCAAGAGCACAGCACATCATAGATTTCATTAATTGTTTCATGTTTAAAGTTTTAAAAGAAAGTGTAAAGGGTTTAAAAACTGAGGCAGGTGTAGAGTAGATTTGGGCTCTGACCAGCTCCTTGGAAAAGAGTCCAAGGAGAAGCCAAGAGATACAGAGACCATGGGGAGGAAAGAAAACAGGCAAATCTGTCAGGGTGTGATCTTTTTTTTTAAAGAAGGGATGCTACAAAATCCCGTCTGCTGTTATGTATATCTCATTAAGAAATAAATCTGAAGAACCCCCTCTATAAAGGACTGCATGAAGGAGCAAAGATTATTTTGGGACTGACAGTTGGGGAACAGTGTTTAACCAAGTTGCTGGGTGGACAGTGACCCTAAGGGAGAGTTGGTAAATGAAAAGGAGCAATGGCTTCTGGTGCTTAAAGAAAGTAGGGATGGTGGTTTTGGCAGGAGGTGCTGAAAAAGCCTGCAAGCTGTTAACCTACTCCTGGATTTGGATTTTTTTCTCTTTCACGTCTTCTTCTGGTTGTTGGCCTTTTGTGACTCCTTTTCTGCTTCATGCCTGCCTAAGATCATTAAAAGGCTTCCCAGGTGGCTCAGTGGCAAAGAATCTGCCTGCAGCGCAGGAGATGCAGGTTCGATCCCTGGGTCGGGAAGATCCCCTGGAGAAGGAAATGGCAACCCACTCCAGCATTCTTGCCTGGGAAATCACATAGACAGAGGAGCCTGGCAGGCTACACAATCCATGGGGATGCAAAAAAGTCAGACACAACTTAGAGACTAAACAACAGCAACACAAAGATCATTAAATGGGGCAATTTAAACAGATTTTATCTGAATACTAAGTTTGGGATCAGAAGAAATGGTTGGACATTTTCTGACTGATTCACCAGGAGCCCTGAATCTTCTGGAAACAATTAGGAGGATGGGATAACATAGTCCGTTGTTGGAATTAGAGGTGGGCTCGTTACCACTGAAGCACATGCCTTGAGTGTAGGGGAATAATGCTGGAGAGCCAAAGGATGACAGAAGAACCCCTGTTCTCCTTAAATGATGGTCAAAGACAAGTTTGCTTAGACCTTCCCTACGATTCTGTTACTCACAACCCATGTGTTTACTGGCCGAATGGAGAGTTATACTCCCTTTGCAAGACTCGGGAGAGACCCCAACATGGCACACTGCTTCCCCTCGAGGAGTTTACAGCCCCACAAGAAAGGGGATTATAATACAAGGCAGGAAGTTCAAGTGCCATGAGGGAAATGCAATCAGAATGATGCAGTGTTTAGAAGAGATTGTTTCTTAGAGAAGGAGAACTTGAATGATGGTTAGGGGAAGTTGGAGGTGGTGGAGGGAGTATTAGGGGAATGGGGCATTGTATGGACAAGGTATAGCCAGCTAGGGACAGAACACACTGAAGAAATGGCAAGTAGTTTCATATGGCTAGAGCCAAGGGTTCTTATTAGGGAGACACAGTCAAAAAGCTGGACAGCGAGAATGAGGCTTAGCTATGGAGAGTCTCAGCTGTCAACTAAGAATCTTGAGAGTGGGTTGGGTAGGGTGAGCACATAGAGGGGTGGAGGGGGCTTGAGGGGTGCTAGGGGCAGATAGGGAGAGCAGAAGTACAGGTTTTGGTTGCTTTTGTCAGGCTTTTGCATTTCTTTGCCCGGAATGCTTCTGCTCAGCCTCTTCTCTGACCTTCTGTGCACCCTATGTCCATAACAAAGCCATCTCTTCCAAAAAGCCTTGCTTTGACCCTCCGAGATGACTGTGACCTCTCCCACTTCTGAGCTCCCCACAGCTTATCATCTGACCCTTTCTGCTGACCTTTGTCACAGCCCACCTGCCAGATAGCTATTTTAAATCTATATCTATTTTACATCCTACACATATTATATACTTGGTAAACATTTCTAAGTCTGACAGAATTCACTTCCCCTTGAGTGTTCGGCATATAACTTGGGGAAGCAGGGTCATGAAACTTGATGAACCTAATATTTCTACAAACATGGTGGACAGACCATAGATTAGAATGCATTTCTGCTAAGGCCAGAGGCTGAGATTCGACAGGACCTCGGAATTCATGTTCACCTCATTTTATTAGTGACGCCCAGACAGGTACAATAACTTGCTCAAAGTTACACAGTGAGTTAATGATCTGAAACAGTGTATGTGGAGGGTTTTATCACAGTGCCTAACACAACAACAGGCATTCAGTACTTCCTCTCTAGCCTCTTGAACTTTAATCAAACACCAAGCTACTTGTAATTTTTTCCATCCTTTATGGAAACTTTATGCTGTTTCTTGCATTTGAGGTTCTGCTTGTACCTGGAGTGAGTCAAAGTCGCTCAGTCATGTCCAACTCTTTGCGACCCTATGGATTATACAGCCCATGGAATTCTCCAGGCCAGAATACTGGAGTGGGTAGCAGTTCCCTTCTCCAGGGCATCTTCCTAAGTTAAGGATCGAACCCAGGTCTCCCACACTGCAGGCGGATTCTTTACCAGCTGAGCATTTCCCTCGCTCCATTGCATATGTATCCTTTGCACCTGTGTCTGCCTGCCCCCTGAAGATCAGCTCAGAAGGTTGGCGCTCTCCGTGTATTCTTTGGAACACACTCAGCACCTCACGCCATTCCTGGAACATAGCTGTGCTCAGTAGATCTTTATAGAATGAAGGCGCAGAGAGGGGCCATCCAGGCCCAGGCCCCAGACCGGAGAGGCAGCCTCCTTATCTTTCTCAGTAACTCACAGGGCCCAGACTGGCTGCTCAGATTCTAATGGTGTGACGGCTTTGCAGAGGAGTGCTGAGCCTCAAACCTCACTGTTTATCTAAGACACTTCTGCTCTTGTTCCTCTTGTAAAATACCAAATAAAAATAGTTCCAGGAAGCTATGTGGCTGAGAAATTCCAGGCTCTGTCTGAGCTCCTAGATAAAGGCTGTTATTGTTAGGAAGTTGGTCATTAATCCAACCTGCATTCTCTCTGTGCTTTAGTTCCACATCCTTCTAAAGGCACTGAATCTTTTTGTCCTCATTTGCCCTTAAGCCTGGTAACTGGAAAAAAAATTAACTTGACAGCAGTTGATGTAAAAATGATCTAAGGTATCAGTTGGCTACGAGCACACTTTGTGCTCTGGGCTTGTGACTTTAACTTACTCTTAAAGTACTTTACCAGATGGCTAGTATCCTCATGTAAAAGATGAGAGGAATAACACCTTCCTTGCCAGATTAGTGCAAGAGTGAAAGCAAATAAGATAGGCAGAGGTTCCTGGCACGTGTGCTCAATTGCTTCAGTTGTGTCCGACTCTTTGCGACCCCGTGGACTGTAGCCCACCAGGCTCCTCTGTGCATGGATTTCCCAGGCAAGAGTACTGTAGTGGGTTGCTATTTCCTTCTCCAGGGGATCTTCCCAACCCAGGGATCGGACCTGCATCTCTTGCATCTCCTGCATTGGCAGGTGGATGCTTTACCACTACCGCCACCTGGGTACAATAGCAATGGTTAAAGAAATGTTACATCTTAATCAAAGGTTGTGACCCCCTTACTCTGTTATGCTGTGGTCAGACTTCATCTGGGCTATTAAGTTTTGTCGGTGGGGCTCATATTTTTGAAGAGATTTGTTGACAAATTATCACCCAGAAGCAAACAACCAAGATGATAAGAATCTGGAAATCAGACTTTATGTAAGAAACAGTTGAAGAAGTTGGGAATGTTTAGCCTAGGAAAGAAATAACTAGGCCTAAAATGGCATGGGGCAAGGCTGTAGATGGGTCTTCAAATAATGGAAGGATTAACATTTGGAAACATGAGACAAGGGTTTGATCCCTGGGTCGGGAAGATCCCCTGGATAAGGAAATGGCAACACACTCTAGTATTCTTGCCTGGAGATTCCCACAAATAGAGGGGCCTCGCTAACTGCTGTCCATAGGTCGCAAAGGGTCGAACACAACTGAAGCAACTTAGCATGCAGGTAACATTTGGAAAAGGGTTATACCTCATTTCTATTCCATAAATATTTATGGAACACCTGTTACATGCCAGGATCTGGGACTGCAAAGAAATGCCATGCCTGCCTCAAGGATCTGGGACTACAAAGGACCGTGACAGTGCAAAAGAGGCTGTTTTAAGAGGTGTTCAAGGTGCTGAGAGAAAGTAGAGAAGAACTGATTCTGCAGAGAGGCAAGGGAAGGATTCGCCAAGGAGGTGACATTGGAATGAACGGTAAAAGCAAACTAGGATTTCTTCAGGCAGAGAAAGAGGGGAGGGGCATGTAAGCAGCAAGTGCAGCGTGTGCAAAGACAGAAAGGTTTCCTCCAGAAGAAGCTGGGATGAGCAGGAAGA